CACGCACCGGACACGCATGCGGCCACCGGCCACATGCGCATCCAGCTTGCGCCCAAGCTGGCCTGGCCGTGCATCCTCGGAGTGCCGACAGCTTGTGGCCGTCTTCCAAAACAGGACCCAAAGGAGTCCCAACCACTTCCCCAGGGACACATTTCCATCCTGAGTTGTTTGTGTTGACGGCCCTGGGGCCCAGCCAGGGCCCCTCAAGGCCGAAAACGGCGAACACATCCGTGGTGATCTTTTGAATACGTTTGATGTCTGGGTGGATCCAACTTCCTGGCAAGAGCATGCCGACTATCAGAACAGAAGCGGGGACCGTCGCCACCGAGAACCCACGGAAGGACAGGACCCCTGGGCGGTGAATGCCGAGCGCCGTCCTGTACTGGGTGACGCTCGGGCATACCAACGCCCAGCGGTCGGACCCCTGACACCCGGAGTCTCGAAAAAAATACCACATCGCGAAAAAAAACACAGACGAATACCTAGACCCGAACCAGATCGATCTGTGACGGCCCCCTACGCTTAAAGCTTGGCGAAAACGCCCCTTTTTGAACAAATTGCAACGCCCAAATCTCAAGGTTCTCCTCAGCGTCGTTGCGACGGGGACTTCGCTAACGGGCAGTTTGGCCAGCGACCCGGCAAACCCAACGCTTGCTGATGCGAGCAACGTCGTCACGGCGGGATCGGCAGGTGATCTCGGTTTTGAACCAAGCACCTGGGGAACATGTCGCATGTGGCTTACTTGCGCGACCAATGTGTCACCGCGCATCGCGTCCAAAGGGCGACCTGGACATGGACATTCGTCGCGCCTGTTGTTCGCGCGCGACTGCAAGCGCTGGCGCGAGCCGGATGCTCCTTCGCTTCGCGTGCGGGGCGGCGCGCGACGTTTGATGGCATGATTGGGCGCCAGCACAACGATCGAAAAAAAACACTGTCACGCGATGACCGGGGGCATGTATGCATTGAAACCGTGGAACCAGAAGCAACAGCACGGGCGCCGCAATAAAAGCGAGTCGTCGCTGAGCGCGCGACGGGGAGTTTTACGCGGTTGCCATCGCGGCGCGCGTCGTCGCCGCCCGAGCGACGGGTTTTTGCCGGCGCTGCAAGTATTGGTGCCGCCATCAATCGCGAGGCAGCCCGCGGCCGCCAAGCTTGCGAGTACTGCTTTTGAACTAGCTCTGGCATGAGAATGGGGTGGGATGGGGGGGAGAAAAAGGCGGGACAGGAGAATGGGAAACGGTAAGGGGAGGGGAAGGGAGGGGAAAGAGGGGAATGGGGGGCGTAGGGACTGGTGAAGGGGGGAGGGAGGGGAAGAGGGAGGAGAAGGAAGAGTAAGCGAAAGAGATGGAGGCAAGACACGGCCGTGCCTGCCTGCCCCACGGCTTGAGCATGTTTTGCGGATTGAGCGAACGAAGCGTAAGTCATAACACCCATGGATTGCAGGCTGCCCGGGCCAGGGTTGTCCACATAAGGCAAGGTGTACACTGCGTGACGGGGTGGTGCACTCTGGGGTGGTGCACGCTGGGGACGGCCGGTTGTGCACACGGGTGCCGCCGAAGCGGTTCAGGCAGGGACGACGGAAAAACGGATTGGAACCCTGGAGGGAGCAGGCACAGAGAGCCGGAAAGGGGAGGAGACAGGGAGGAGAGAGGACAGACAGGAAGGGGAGGGAGGGGAGGTGCAGAGAGCGGGGGCCAAGGGGGGGAGGAGAGGGGAACGAAAGGGACGGAAAGGAGGGAAGGGGCGCGAGAGGGAGAGCAGGGAAGCGAGGAGTGGGAAGCGAATGGGGAAGTGAGGGGAGGGAGGCGGTCTCGGTCCTCGGGTGCCCTACCAAGCAGGATTGAGCCACGCTCTCGGCCTAACCACGGCCCTTGCGGGCCCAGCCTTCCCCGGGAGGTCCCCAGCCCCAGCAAAAAAGGACGAGTGACGTCGGGAAGCCTCGCAACTCTAGGTAGGTCCCGTACATTGCGAATCCTGCCTAGTTAAATGTGCGGAAGTCACGCTTTCAGCCAGACCAATCACGGCACGATTTGGCACGGCTGAGTGTTCGCGGTTTGCAGACCAAGCAGGACACGGCACGACACAGTTCTGTGTTTCGGAAGACCAGGGCGTACTTGCAGGCCAAGCACGGCATGGCAAAACACATCTTTACAATAATAAGAGACAAGCACGGCATGGCACGGCAAGGCGAATTTTCTGCGTTCTGGACAAGCAAGCACCACACAGCACGGCGCGGCACGGCGGGGCTGTCGGCAACAACCACCGCCGCGAAGCAAGATGAAAGGCAGCCGTGCACAAGCCAGCTTCCGCACATGAGAACAGAAAGCAACACCAAAACAAAAATGTATATATATACATATATATATATACATCCGTACAAACAGAAGACCCCAAAAAAGAGTCCCCAGTGAACCTGCCGATGGCTTCGTAATGACGCAACGCTGCAAAGCACGAGAAAAAAAACCAGAGTGGCAACCTTCGGTGGGTTTCTGAAGTACCT